AAAAAAAAAAAAAAAATCACACGTAAAAGCTCATTAAATAATTACATAGACAAATAAATAGTTTATTCAGCTTTACTTTTCGCTGCCATGCATAATTTAAATTTTTGGTATACTGATATACAAGAGCATGCAAGGCATTGTTTTCTTAGAATTAATCTGAAAACAGTTGCTAGCTGTCATTAAAAGAATGTGTCAAAGTGTTGTAAAATATGAATGAGAAAGCAATGGACAACAATTAACTCTCCTTATGAAAACTGACAAAGCACCTTTCTAAAAGCCAAATTTAAGCAAATGTTCATGGCAACAATTCTTTGCTTCCATGCCTCCAGTTCAAAGGGTAGGATTGGAAGGCTTTTGGTATTCTCCATCTTGAGCATATGAAAATGGCCAAGAAAGTCCTTATGCACAGAATGCCCTTCCAAGTTTGGTCAAGCAAAAAAAAAAAAAAAAAAGAGCATGTGTGGTTAAGTGATAACATAGCAATGGCAGACTTGTCTTTTAAGCAGTCATATCAATGAAGAGAATGGTTCCAGGCGAGTTCATTTATGGGGGCACATGTCTGACTTCTAACTTGTACTATGCTTGCTGTTTTTACTGACTCTTTTTCTCTCTTTGTGATGCTGGATGGGCTTAGCCTGAGAGGTTCCCTCGAAGTTGTGGCTGGACTCGTTGTGCTGCCTGGTGTACCTTTTGCACTTGCAGGCTGTGACAACAGTTATTTTGTAGGTTCTTATGCTTCCATCCTGGCACTGGAGCTGGATCCTCTGGGTGCGAGTTTTGTCATTGACACACCTCCATTCTTGCGAGCTCCTCCTGCTCCAGTACTTGGTTCCATAACCTCCCCCAATCCAGTTGGGGAGCAACGGCAAAGGGAGGCATTCACCAGCACATACCAGCTCTTTCAAGGGGTTTATGCTGGTACACTGGCCGTCTGAAATGTACTTGGTGGATCTCAGTTCCCGACAGCCAACTTGAACACGATCTGCAGAATGCATAGAACAAGAACATTGAGACTCAGAAAAAGAAGATTTCCTAAACCATTCTTCAGGTTGCCAACCATGTTCAAATGAGCAAGGCCAGTACAGCAATATGTGACATGGATTTAGACAAACTGTTGGAGATGGTCTTTCATTATATGTACATGTCTAGCCCACACAGGGTGTCAATCTGACAGGGCCTTCTGGGTCTTACGAAAGGGCAAAAATAAATAAATTGTGCTAAGCACTGTAGTAGCTATCATTTTGGTGATGCTTCTTAGCCTCTTGAAGGCTCGGATCAAGTGTAGTGGCTTCTTAACCTGGCAAGGGAAATACCATGCATGTCCAAGAAGGCAGTTTTCCTGAACCGTTTTTCAGGAGAACTGCTCTTCTGGCGTGGTTTAGTACCCACCAAGGTGCAGCGGCGTTAAGCCCAGGTTATGGGAATGGGAGTCTGCTCCCTTGCTTGCTCTGAAGGCCTTATGGCTGAGGGCAAGCAAAACTTGGGGGCAGCCAAACTCCAAGCCTCTGGGCTTGGACCTGCACGCAAGATGCGCACCAAAGGTTTTGGAGACATCCTACACCCACACCTGGGGCTTCAGAGGCTTGCCAGTAATAGGGCCACTTATGGTTCTGGACTCTTGGATTTGGAATTCGTTTTGGCCAACTTGGCTTCGGATACAAATTAAAAGTTAGTATTTTGGTGAAGGAAGGAATTTCATTGTCAGGCCTCATTTGCAGGTTCTTAATCATCTAGAAGGAAGAAATTACCCTCGGGCTGAAATGTCTTTTACTTTTCTTAGCCTGGAGGGAACTTACTTTGGGATGCTTGGAGAAATTCTGATGGATCATTAGCATGAAAAATACTGTTTCTATGTGGTCTGGGGAATTATTCTAATGCATTTAAGGAAATCACAAATACATATTTTCTTCAACTTTCCAATTTATGGATTTACTCACCAGTGAAAATATTTTTTTCAAGCCATATTTATATGAGAAATAATAAAAGTTGAAGGTAATCAAAACGTATGTTCTGTACCTGATGTTTGAATTATTAACAAAATAAAAGTGGTGTTTTTGCCTTAAAAACAATTTTATCTTTGTATTTACACTATTCCTTATACTTACCGGTACTTGATACAAGGAATATTGCAAATCCTGAGGCAACATTATTTAGTTCTCCAAGGCAATTGACACAGTATCAAAGTGCAGAGCTGCAAATAGAAGCATGCTTGTGCCTGCTTGTATATGCAGCTCCGCATGCTGCAATAAATACAGATGTTTATTTCTATAATTACCCTTTTGAAATTAACCTGGCACAATGCACTTTATTTTAATGTGTAATTCTTGGCTGGCTGTTCTACCTCTTTTTACTGGAAATTTTACCGTGGGGTTGGAACACGCATATCATTATTTCAGGCTTTTAAAACAAAAAATAATCACTCCAAAAATGTTAGAGCAAGCCACAAGAGGATCTGAAGGTACCTACGCCCATCAGCGTTACAGGATGTTTCTGTTTTCACTTAGATTTTTAGAAGCACACTCTAATCAGAGACATGGGTTAAAATAGCCTCACTTTGTCCCTCTTCCCCATTGCTTCCAAGCTGTTGCACTTTTGAGACTGCTCCAGAAAGTCTGTTTGCACAAGGACTGGCTTCTGGAGTGCTGCATATGCCTGAAGGATGCAAGCTCGGCTTCCTGCAGCTGCGCTCAGGAAAGGACCTGGAAGCATCTTGTCATAGCTCTGATTTGTCTTTCCTTCTCTTGTTATGCGTATGCAAAGTCAGCTTTCCTGCAGTGACAGTTCACTGACAATTGATACCTACTGGGCTGCAGAAATCTTCTAAGAAGAAAATATTTCCTACTACCCGCCTACAGGAAAGCTGACACATCTTGGCTTTTCTGAAGGAGCCTGCATTCATGGTGTCCTTTTGCTTTCCTTGAGTGCAGTTACTTTTCCCCAAGGCATGTGGGTGTGTGGTATTTCTGGTGTTTTTTACCTTAAGGGGGTGGTGATGGAGAAGATGGATTTGGCTCTTCCTACCTCCAATTCAGGAAAAAGGAAGGGGGGGGGAGGAAGGGAAATCAAAAGGGACAAGTTGGAGCAGAGATGAGGGGTAGACTATGAACCTGTTTGCTTGGGAACCAAGCAGGTAAGGACGAAGCCAGGAAGCCAAAGGGGAGAGAGCTGGATCCCAAGGCAAAGCTGCTTTGATGTTTCCGAGACTCACCTGGCTCCCGGGAGCGCCTGGCGGCCGCACACACCACAAGCCAGGTGATGCTCAGACTTTATTAGTGCAATCCCCTCTGTAGGCACTACTCTAAAGGACACCCATCAAGGCAACAATTATAGTTCTTCAAATAAAATTGTCGATGACTTGTTTTCGAATCGAATTTAAAACGATCGCTTCTAAAAAGCTTTTGTGCATACAGCCAGCAACATCGGTGGGGGGGGGGGCAGACTTCATCGCCCCGGGGCTGCTGCTGCATCCCGCGGGGGTCAGGGGGTCCCGGCCGGGCAGGGCAGGGCTGGGGTAGGTGAGCTCGGGGTCGCGCCGGCAGGGGCAGGGCAGGGCAGGGCAGGGCAGGGGGGCGATACTCACCGCTGCGATCTAACGCAGGGCGGCTGTAATGCCTGCCTCCATTCCTGGCTTGATTCAAGGTGCTGTTGGTGCCGGGGCTCGCCGGGACAGGCTTCCCCACGTGCGAATAAAGGATCTCGGTGGCATCGTTCTTGAAAGCCGGGCAGGTCTGGGCGAAGATGCAGGCGAGGAGGACGGCCCGGACGGGAGCGGAGAGCATGGCTGGCTCAGCCCCTGCCTAGCAGAGCTCGCGAAATGCTCTCCCCTACGCTCCTGCCCAGCAACTCTGCAGTTTGCAGCGTCAGGTTTTCCCTTATATATCCGCAGGGGCTTGGCATTCATTCAGGTGTGAAGCTGTGGATTGATTCAGAATGAAAACACAAGAGAAGGGGTGGGCTGCCTCTCTCCCGGCGCGCACAGACATCTTCCCAATGGCAGAGCTGGCTGCCGGAGAGGCGGAGCCAGCTCTGCTAATTGCAGGATCCCGGGCTGGGGCTTCGGAGGGGGTCAGGAAACTCTGTGAACGATCTGGCAGCAGACACGCACAGACAGCACGGGCTCTTCTGCCCTTTCGTATGTCCTGCGCGGCTGGGATTTTCGGCTGATGTGCTTGAAGCCAAGTGTCAGCATTGCCCCTGTTATGCGGAGTTACCAGTCCTAGAATGTGCTTTGGAGGAAACTTGTCAGCTGAGCAAAAAAAAAAAAAAAAAGGGGGGGGGGGGGGCAAGGGGGGGAAAACCCCC